AAGTTCTACACAGCTGTCTGCCAAGTGAAAACACGTGCTCGTTTGTTTACAATATTCACTTCCTGGATATCAGCCTGTTTATTGCTTCGCATCAAATATATCGAAGGCTGTGATTGGTCAAAAATCAAAACGGAAGTGGACGAATGAAAATTCAAGATGGTTGTCTTCGGCAAACCGACGAGTGTTCCATTCACTTGTTATGAACTTGGACACACATGGTCACCTTCCTGTGTAAAGGCATCACTCGGAGTGTCTTTTGATGTCTTTAAAGAAGCACTGAAAATATATGGAAGCCTCTATTTGGTACGCTACTAGAGACATGAAGCAAATAAACGTGCACAATTTCAGATTTTATGTGAACTAACTTACCAAGTATCAGAGTCCAAAGTCACAATAGTACATGCTTCCGTACATGTTTACCTTCATCAACATATAGGTCTTATTGATCCACATAAATAGAATGTTAGACGGAATTATCAATGTATCCACTATTATTTCCTGACAGGCTAGAAAGACACCATAATATAGGCTTTAACTAGTACTGCAGGTTGGAAAATCTCTCGACATTCCGAGATGGTTTAGACAAACCACAGGGACACGAAACTACTATAAATATTGATCTTGTTTTAGGCTTTCAGTCAATGGGTACGTACCCAGCGACTGAAAGCCTAAAACAATATTAATAGTATTTGCGTGCCCCTGTGGACAAACCGAGAAACACAGTTTACTGGGATAAACTGGAAATGAATAACAGAAATTGCTGTTAAAAACTGCACCATATTTTTTTTGCATCTTCCAGCAAACATGCATAGTTATTATAACCTATTGTCCCTATTATTCATTTGTGTGAAATCATTTAAAAATAGCTGCATTTCCAAAATAAAGCAAGGGACATCAAATTCTCATAGCATTCTTTGTAGATACGTTTGGAACATTTTAGAAACTTCCACATGTGCATGTTTAGTTAATGTGGACGAAACATCTCGTCAAATTAGCAGAAAATGCAGCAGCCCTTTTCATTTTATTGCTATACAACTGAACCTTTTATTTAACTGCATTTTTGTGCATTGGTTCAAGTTCACCCCAATTTACAGAGTTTTTTGTAAACTGTGTGTATCTTGGTTTGTCGAACCATCTTGGAAGTCTATCAGGTTCGAAATATCCTCTGAACAATCTTGTGCACACTAGTATTCTGAAGCACCTGTTTCCCTTAAAGTCATTATCGAAATTCTGAGCAATTTGTACATATTTTTGAAAGTAAGTTTCGAAGTGTAGTTTTTAATCTACATTTCTTAGCCAATGAATGCAAAGGTGTCATTTTGCATGATTTTTTTCCAAAGAATGCTACTGCTTAAATGTGTCTGGTTTCATAAGATAATTGAGAGGATGAGTGGAGTTTAATTTCATTCTCTGAAGTTGGAGTATGTTCCAAATCTGTTAATATGAAATCATCCCAGCAGTTGTGCATGCATGCAATAAATTTGCTTGGATATTTGGAAAAAATAATAACACAATTTTTGATTCTGACAAACTGTTCAGGCAAAACTTTATATGATTTAGCAAAAATATTGCTTGAGATGCACCATTAGTAAGACTTTAACTGAAGTCCAATTGCTTTGGCAAATGATATGAGTGAACTTGAAAAGACGGTGCATTTAAGAACAGTTCACTCAACTTATCTCTTTGTTCTTGTCACATTTTTATGTCAACAAATTGCCTTTCACTAAGGATACTGGTGTTTGATTCCCCGATCGGACATGAAAAGGTATGGAGTCACTTGCCCGACCACAACAGTTTCCTCCAACATTAACACACACCCCTCCCGCACCACTATCCGGGCCAACAAGGGTGATTAATATAAGTCTTGAGTTTGGCTTTTTCCAAAGTCAAACCAAACATCACAATGGCATATCATTCATCAGAAAAAAATGGGAAGGTTTGATTCAATCTAATTAAAATTATATCTTCACATCGCTCCCGTTTATGGGAGCGACGAGAGCGATGTGAAGATATAATTTTAATTAGATTGGGTTTGATTAGTCAATGGATGTAAAAATTTAACAATTTGAGTGTTTCCAATAATTCAATGCCAAAGTGGTAGCAAATGTACAGTTACCATTAGATATTGGAATTCTTTGCTAGTTATGCTTCATAACGAATGCAATAAAAGACATGTGGTTACATTAGAAAATAAAATTCCAATTTCATTTTAGACAACTGGTTTCACTAACAACTTAAACAGAAATTTACACTTTATTTTTCATATGTGTTAAGTTAGAGACAAACTCCCTGGGAAAAGTTTGATCATGTTGGAGACTATTGTTCAGTTGATCCATTTATATATTTGGGTATTTCCTAACTGTACATACAATGATAGAAGATTAACCCTGCTTCATGTAATGATTTTGTTGTATACAGATAAATTGAGTACTATTTTTAGTATCCCTTATACATGTGTCATTTCCTAATTTACACACTCATCTGTTTATGATAACATTATAACAACCATTATTTTGTCCAATATCTTACTGAAAATGCTGCAAATATTATATGTGAGCTTTCTCCTATATAAATTATATGAAGTTTGATTCAGTTTGCATAGACAAAATAAACTTTTTCTGTAAGCTGACAGAATGTAAAACTGCTGTTTTAAAAAAACTTTTATTAAAATTATTTCATCTGATTCAGTTTAAAAAAAATTACTCTTCAGATTGCTGGCATTGTAAGGAAAAGAGGCAAGAAATATTTTCAGAAAAAATGGTTAGCAGAAACTGGGCAGTCAACATTGTTCCTTACAACAAATGGAACCTTATTTTTGGTGTTCTTCTGTCTATGGAGGTAAGATACAATCACTATTCTTCAGTGTAGGGGACATAAGGTATAACAAACCCCAGGGGACATAAGGTATAACAATCCCAGGGGACATAAGGTATAACAATCCCAGGGGACATAAGGTATAACAAACCCCAGGGGACATAAGGTATACCAACCTCAGGGTACCTAAGATATAACAACCCCAGGGACATAAGGTATAACAACCCCAGGGACATAGGTATAACAATCCCAGGGGACATAAGGTATAACAAACCCCAGGGGACATAAGGTATAACAATCCCCAGGGGACATAAGGTATAACAATCCCAGAGGACATCAGATATAACAAACTCAGGGGACATAATATAAGGTATAACAACCCCAGGGGACATAAGGTATAACAACCCCAGGGGACATAAGATATAACAACTCTAGGGGACATAAGGTATACCAACCCCAGGGACATTAGATATAAAAAAAGCCAGGGGACATAAGATATAACAACCCCAGGGTACATAATATATAACAAACTCCAGGGGACATAAGATATAGCAACCCCAGGGGACATAATTATATATAAGGTATAACAACCCCAGGGGACATAAGATATAACAACAGCAGGGTACATAATATATAACAAACTCCAGGGGACATAAGGTATAACAACCCCAGGAGACATAATATATAACAAACTCCAGGGGACATAAGGTATAACAACCCTAGGGGACATCAGATATAACAAACTCCAGGGGACATAATATAAGGTATAACAACCCCAGGGCACATAAGATATAACAAACTCCAGGGGACATAATATAAGGTATAACAACCCCAGGGCACATAAGATATAACAACCCCAGGGGACATCAGATATAACAAACCATGTGGACTTTAAAGATGTTGTACTGTAGTTTTGTGTTTTATTTATGTCATTACTTATGTTAAGTCAGAACAGTGCTTGGTTGTTTATGCAAATACATAATGGTTTATATCATTGTTATATATGTTTAATAAATATGATTGCAAAGTGTTCCAGTTTAGATTAACTCATTGATATCACCTTGCCTGTAATGTACAGGGTTTTTGTTACTGATCTTGTAAGTACAATGATCTCAGTCATTGTGTAATTTAGAAACAATATATTTGTGATTTTATGTTCCTGTTAAACACGATTCTGATACTTCTTGTGTACAAGCTATAAGAGGGACCGTTTTATATGTATCTCTAGATCTACAGGAAATGTTAATCTGTACACTATTTCTACCCAAATAATAGTATGTTACTTTCCCGTCCTTAGTTCATGTATCATGGTTACGTAAATTAAGAGTTCAGAGGTCAAATATATTCTTTCATGTCTGCTTTACTATACATGTATTCTGTCTTTGCGTATTGCAGAGTTATCTTATCTTGGGAGCGGGTATTGATTGTTACGTCACTTGTTTGTGAGAGTAACGTCATCAATTTTTGAGAAAACGATGTAATTTTCTCGCACAAACCAATGACGTAACAATCAATACCTGTTCCCAAGAGAAGATAACTCTGCAATACGCAAAGACGGAATACAAATGTATATCATTAGAGTATATAAAAGCAAGGAAATAATGGAAATTGCAGACCATTAAGAGGAACTTCTATAAAAGGTCTGATGAATCTACCAGATGAATGATTTTAGAACACTATGATAGTCAACACCTGAAATCAGAATAAGGTCAAAAGTCAATGAAAGTTTCTCCAATGAAATATGTTTGCAGAAGCTATATATTTAGTCAATTATTTTAAAACAGGCTGATGTTCATGAGACAAATCCTTGCCTGGAATTAATTAAATAAGGGTTAATTGGTAGAAGTGGGTTTTCAGACATCATCCTTTCTATTCTGTCATCTGGAACCCTTCTGTACCATGCCAAGGGATGTTTTTGTATGAGTATTCTTGCTAGTTATATCTTCAAAAATATTGCACCTGGAATTTTATGATGAAACTTCAGTGTTTACAAACAGGAAGACTTTGCAATTCATATACATGTATCTAGTATTGAAATTTGGAACATTTGGGTATCATTGTAATTAGTTTATAAATCACATGAGCATGTTGCTTGGGTTATACTGGTATATAGATATATACAATGGCAATTAAACAAAATGCTTGGGGAAACATTTATTCTTAAAAACTGCATGTGTTGATTTGACATTGTACAAGCTGATGATGTTTAGCATGTAGCCTGTAATACCGCAACCTTAATATATATGTACCTCTATAGTGATGATCAGAATATCATATTTAATACGTAGTAGTAATACCGCAACCTTACTATATATGTACCTCTATAGTGATGGTCAGAATATCATATTTAATATATAGTAGTAATACCTCAACCTTAATGTATATGTACCTCTATAGTGATGGTCAGAATATCAAATCTAATATGTAGTAGTAAAACTACCTGATTTTACCTCCGTGATAGCCAGACTATGATGTTGAATAAGTAGTCAGCAAAGGATACTTCCATACTTTAGCTTATAGGTAGATGAACAATGAACCAATTCATATATAAATATATAGAATGGGACCAGAGTGTATGTCTGGTGTATACAGATTTATATATAAATGTATAAAATGAGACCAGAGTGAATGTCTGGTGTATATAGATTTATATATAAATGTATAGAGTGGAACCAGAGTGTATGTCTGGTGTATACAGATTTATTTATAAATGTATAGAGTGGGACCAGAGTGAATGTCTGGTGTATACAGATTTATATATAAATGTATAGAATGAGACCAGAGTGTATGTCTGGTGGATACAGATTTATATATAAATGTATAAAATGAGACCAGAGTGAATGTCTGGTGTATATAGATTTATATATAAATGTATAGAGTGGGACCAGAGTGTATGTCTGGTTTATACAGATTTATATATAAATATATAGAGTGAGACCAGAGTGAATGTCTGGTGTATACAGATTTATATATAAATGTATAAAATGAGACCAGAGTGAATGTCTGGTGTATACAGATTTATATATAAATGTATAAAATGAGACCAGAGTGAATGTCTGGTGTATACAGATTTATATATAAATGTATAGAGTGGAACCAGAGTGTATGTCTGGTGTATACAGATTTATATATAAATGTATAGAGTGAGATCAGAAAGAATGTCTGGTTTATACAGATTTATATATAAATATATAGAGTGAGACCAGAGTGAATGTCTGGGGTATACAGATTTATATATAAATGTATAGAGTGGGACCAGAGTGTATGTCTGGGTTATACAGATTTATATATAAATGTATAGAATGAGACCAGAGTGTATGTCTGGTGTATACAGATTTATATATAAATGTATAGAGTGAGACCGGTGTGAATGTCTGGTTTATACAGATTTATATATAAATGTATAGAGTGAGACCAGAGTGAATGTCTGGTGTATACAGATTTATATATAAATGTATAGAGTGACACCAGAGTGTATGTCTGGTGTATACAGATTTATATATAAATTTATAGAGTGAGACCAGAGTGAATGTCTAGTGTATACTGATTTATATATAAATGTATAAAGTGAGACCAGCATGAATGTCTGGTTTGTACAGATTTATATATAAATGTATAGAGTGAGACCAGAGTGTATGTCTGGTGTATACAGATTTATATATAAATGTATAGAATGAGACCAGAGTGTATGTCTGGTTAATACAGATTTATATATAAATGTAAAGAGTGGGACCAGAGTGTATGTCTGGTTAATACAGATTTATATATAAATGTATAGAATGAGACCAGAGTGTATGTCTGGTTAATACAGATTTATATATAAATGTAAAGAGTGGGACCAGAGTGTATGTCTGGTGTATACAGATTTATATATAAATGTATAGAGTGAGACCAGAGTGTATGTCTGGTGTATACAGATTTATATATAAATGTATAGAGTGAGACTAGCATAAATGTCTGTTGTATATAGATTTATATATAAATGTATAGAGTAAGACTAGCATAAATGTCTGGTGTATAAGATTTATATATAAATGTATAGAGTGAGACCAGTGTGAATGTCTGGTGTATACAGATTTATATATAAATGTATAAAGTGAAACCAGAGAGAATGTCTGGTGTATACAAATTTATATATAAATGTATAGAGTGAGACCAGAGTGAATGTCTAGTGTATACTGATTTATATATAAATGTATAGAGTGAGATCAGAAAGAATGTCTGGTTTATACAGATTTATAAATAAATGTATAGAGTGAGACCAGTGTGAATGTCTGGTGTATATAGATTTATATATAAATGTATAGAGTGAGACCAGAGTGAATGTCTGGTTTATACAGATTTATATATAAATGTATAGAGTGAGACCAGTGTGAATGTCTGGTGTATACAGTTCATTATTATATTTTTTTTGATTTGAAAAGATAGTTATATAGATTAGCAAGTTAAAGTCATGAATTAGCTCAAAAAATGTCTTTAAAGTGTGAATTTTTAATTTGTAATAAATCAGCAGTTTTTGCAATGTGTATCAAAAGATTATAATTATTTCACATTTAACATTTAGTTGATGTCATTATGGTATTATATACATGGACAGATATTTCTGTAACATACAGAATGCTAAATGTCAAATCTAGATAAAAAAATGCATTTAAATCAATTAGTGCTGCACTTGGTGTTTGTCTTAATGCTGGTTAATTGAACTGGTATACAGGTAGTGTGATCGGGGCTAGCCAGTCTGTCTGTAGGTCTGTGATTTATGGACATTCTATCAGGGACCATTATGGCGGGGTGTAGCGCGAGTCGATGACGGTGTCAAGGTTTAGCTACCACCATTATCTTATGTTTTTTTGTTTTGTTTGAAAGATAATTATGGTTATAATCTTGATCGTATCTACAGGTAAAGGGGACATTTTCAAGTGTTTTTTTGGTAAGCAACCCAATGATAAATAATCGTAAATCAAATAGACATTTGCAGGTATTCATTCTCAACATTGTCATCACTGTGATAACTGGAGTAAACG